TAGAGCGGAGAAATCGAGCTTGTTTAAGTTTAACATGTCCCTAAAACAGGGGTAAAAACGTGAGTAGTCATATGGTAAGCCATAGACATATATCGTAGATCATACAGGTTCTATAGACATGTATTGGTTTAATTTATGCATGAAAACTACAGGTTTCATGTGGTATGTTTTGAATTAAAACTTCTAGTTTCAAAGGCACTAAATTTGAAACTACAAGTTCAATTTAGTTTTATGAACAATTAGTTTATAATGAGAGGTTCCTGCAAGAAACACAAAATGCAATATACTAATTTGAATATAGTGGATTTGAGGTTTTTTGGGAACTCAAGTGTGAGAGCTTCGTTACTACGAAAGTATGTGACGTTTCAAAGTATAAAAATAAATTATTGAATCGTTAATGTCCAAAAATGATCTTTTTTTAATTAATTCATTACCAGATTAATAGAGTGCATGTCATTTTTTATTAATTCAATAAATTGGGCCATATAGGGTCGATTGTGGAAGCTAAATAATATTATTGGATCGAAAATATAGCCCCAAAATAATTTGGGCTAGATGTCATGAGCAAGGGGCACTGGTTGGGTGCTTTAAGTAGAAGGCAAGGCCCTAAAAACTTTGGGTGTTGGCTGCAAGCCACAGGGGTGGAAGAAAACCCCTTGCAGCTGGGTTTCAGTTTGGGCCGAAGGGAGGGGGTGCACGGGATAAGGCCCATCAGCAGCTGGCCTTGTGGGTGATGCATGGAAGGACAAACCCAGCCCCGTGGGTTGGTGTGTGGGTACATATGGGTGCCTAGCCTCATAAAGGCTGGAGCCATGGTTGCGGGCCAATGCAGCAGGATGGGCATAGGGCTTCAGGCCCTGCCGACGTGAGTGCCAGGCCAAGGCCTGGTGGCTTCTTCCACAGTAATGGTGCGGTGGTGTGCTACACCATCTCCAATCCCTTTTTTTTTTTTTTTTTCAAAATCCTCTAGGGTTTAGGAAACCCATATTTGCTTCTAATTTTTTTTATATAGTTTGACTCACATATTCTACATAACAATTTAATTGTGCGATGCATGAAACAAATATATGAACATATACAATATATATATATATATATCGAAAGGAAAATATAAACATAAAGGGGTTCATGCATCATTGGGAATGTTTTCATGCTTCGTGGACTTTTCAAATATTATCTTTTATTTTCAGAGTACCTAATGAGCAGAAAACGAATAAGCCTTTTGAATTTGGTGAATGATAGCCTCCTCCTACGGTGCGTCAGTTCCTCAGCTTCTGGCAAAAACGTGCTGATAACGTGTTGTAAGTCTATTTGATTGAATGATCTAGGGTTTAGAGAGAGAGAGGGGGCTGGCTATGGTTAGAGAGAAGAGAGATTGATTTAATTATGAGGTGTGTTTGATTCATCCCATTGTGCCTTTATTTATAGTAGTAGGATAGGTAAAACGTAAAAACCTTTCCCTTTAGGATTACAACATTTAATAGGTAATCTACTCCTAATATGAATATAAGATACATTCTCATATCGACTAGGATATACACAATCACAATCCTATTTTAAATATGGCTACAACAAATATCTTTATTTTCTTTTTTTATTCTTCAGAAACATAAAAAATAGACACAACATTATATATACAGGATCCGTAGCACCACACAAAAATCACAAATTTTGACGCAAATTTTAGACATTAGATGTATACATTTATAGGAAAGAGATCATCTTCGGATCTCTTCTACCAAAACTCACGGATTAAGTGATCTGGACCCTTCAAATTTGATCCAACGACTAAAAACAGAGGTCTTTTATAAAAATTATAATAATTTTAGCCGTTGGATCAAATTTCAAGAGTCCGGATTACTTAATTTAGAAATTTTGGTGGAAGAGATATGAAAAGAATCTTCTTTCTACATTTTTAATGGTTGAGAAAGAAAAGGCAAACATGATGATGATGAAAGCTTTTGATTGTTTCCATTATTTTAGCCTAGCTACCTAAAGCTCTAATACACAAACAAACGTAGACTAGTAAATTAGTAATAAAATATAACTAGCCAGTGACTATTTTCATTGGAAATACGAGATGAGAAATTAGTAAGGGTTATATATAGATTTAGGCTGAATTAGTAATAAGATACAAAACATTTATTGACGAATTTGAATTTGAAATAATCGATATGGTTAAAGAGATTTGAAATGACTAGACAGAATACACCTAGAGCAATTTATAAATGACAATTTGGAGATCCTGATATGAGTTATTTTTTATATTGGTGAATAAAAGCATTTTCAAATGAGATATTAGATCATCTTCAAATGAGAAGCTAAATTGTTTACATAAGTTATAAAAGAAAAAAAAAAGACAATAATAATTGTTTCCAACCGAAATGTCAAATCTTATGTAGCATAACATGAAATGACAGCAAATAAGTTTGCTGTCAAATTTGACAGCTTCAAATGTTTTTTGCTAATTATTAAATAACTTTTATTAATATTTTAGTGTCATTTATTATTAAATATCACTCTCCGCTCATCCTTCCTCTTCCTTTTTCTGGGAACCAAACCATAAACAATGCTCACGGTCTCAACCTCAAACCCAAATGTAAAGATTACTGATTTGTCGTTTAAACCTAAACGTAAATCTGATGTGAGGTTTATTTTTGTCTTTTATAAGAGCATCGCTGCTTGTCCTTTTCCATTTTTCACAATAGCTCAGACAAGAGCTCTCAAATGTTTGTCGTAATCTCGAAAAAGAAAGTCCATGGAGTCCATCACCACACCTGCAAACGGAGTTGCAGACCTAAAGGTAAAATCTGCTCTTCCCTACTTCGCCGTGGTCTTCATAGTTGGATTTTTTCTCTGCAATGGAAATTAATTTGTGTTCTCGTCTGTGCATAGGATTCTCTCTCCCGTTCCACAGTTCCTCTCGTCTTTCTCCTTCCCCTCTCCTACCTTTCCACAGTATCTTGGCATCAGCCGGTTTTAAAACGAAAGGATAAAGAAGACTAGGACGAGCACCGCTTTGTCTAGCGGAAGTTGCATCAATCTTGAGAATCCAGATCCATTAAAATATAAATATCAATTTTTTTCCCTGCAACAATCCCTTTTGTTTTACTTTTTCTTTTAATTTATCATCAACAAAACGAGAAAAAAATGAGATTGAGAGAATGATGGAGAAGAAAAGCAGGGGGGTATACAAAGTTTCAGAAAAGAGAGAACGAAGATGATCAGGAGGAGTCCAAAAAGAAGGGCAGGGCTTCATTTCGCGTTTAAAAAATAAAAATAAAATGAAAAGAAAATAGTGTAATAAAATAATAATTTAATTTGACATACGGGATGGAGAACAAAACTTTAAAAAATGTCAAAATACCACGTCATAAGTCAAATTCAAATTTTATGTTTTAAATTTGACATCTCCTTTAGAGATGCTCTTAAAAGATAAATGTCAAATGTTAATTTGATGGCTGACGTGACAATGTTAGGTTTTCTCTTTTTCCAATCGATATGTTTTTTTGTTATAAATGATATTTGTAAGACCCATTTTAAAATGAAACCAATTAAACTAAATTTTCAAGATTTATAATTGGTTTATTAATGAGATTCATATAATAAAATAATTAAAAATTATTTGATATTCTATAATTAAGGCTTAAATATATTCCGTTAATAAACCATTCAAAATTCAAAAACATTTAAATTTTGATACAAAAGTCAATAAGATAAATCCAACTAAGGTAAATTATACTAATTTATACTTGCTGACAAACAAATTAAGTATATAGAAATTTTAGGTCAGTCACCTTAAGAAGTCGAAGATAGAAAAATCAACTACAAAAACATAGGTTAAAAAATTAAATAATAACCCTTAATATATATATATATATATATATATATCACAAAAGAAAAAAAAAATAGTATAACAACTCCTTATTGTCTATATATAGGAATTGGATAAGGGTCGGTACATACGTGCACATAGGTACGGAAGTATCGGTATGGCAGTCTTGGTACATATGTACACATAGGTACATTGTGACAACCTGTCCCTATTTTACAATTTTATTAATTTTAAAAGAGGGAATTAACAAAAATACCCTTAGAGGTGAGGACGTTGACTTTCGTTGACCAATGCATTGTGAGATGTATGAAACATTCTTTTAGTGTATCCTCGTAGTGTTCGTCACTACGAACATGTAGGCACAATCGGAATCCAAATCGAAGCTACGGTTAAAATTTTACGAAACTACGAACATGGAGGGCAATTTGGTAATTTCACATTGCAGGGATATTTTTCTATTTTGTCTTTTGTGGCATTGGTTACATACATATAGGTACGAAAGTATTGATACGTTAGCATCAATTCAGAAATATCGGTGCGGAAGTGTCAGTATATACGTACATATAGGTACGAAAGTATTGATACATTAACATCAAAAGAAAAAATTGGTAGATTCGATGTATGAGAAGGTAAAAATAAATTATCAACACTATGTATAAGAAGAAAAAATATTAGATGTGGACGGTGGCCCTAGCCCTTTCTTCTTACATGGTTGAAGATAATTTTTTGGGTTGGACAAAAAGTATCATTTCTAAGTAGAATCATTTATGTTAGCAATAAAATGAAAAGTTATAAATAAATTAAATATGAGACATTATAATTCACTCAAGGATAATATAGGAATAAAAAAATTACATAAAAGGAATTAAGTCTGGCAATAAATATACATGCTGACTTGGACATAAGTCAAAAGACTATAATTAGTTTTTTATTTATTTATTTTTTTTATATATATATATTTTTTTATCTTGGTTAAGGTTTTAGTCTAAAGATAATCTTTTTCTAGGATTAATATCTAGGTGTGTGTGTGTGTGTATAATGAATACACGGTTAGTACGATATGTTGTTACAATAAAACGAGATATTGCTAAAAAGGGCATGTGTGTACAGATATACAGACAAAATTCAAACCTGTTAATGCTTCTGATGTATAGAAAAGAGAGAATTGAGAAGTCATGACCTATATTTAATTACAAATTTGAGCGAAAGTACATGGTTGGAGCATACAATATATTCTATAGATAATGTAGGAAAGAAAAGAAAAAAGTACTTGATAAAGGAAAACCCTAGTCTATACTTAATTGTATCATCAATCAATAATACTACATTAGCTTGAAAGAAAAGCGAAGAATTAAATGGACACAAGGGCAACAAGTCGATATCACTTTCGAAGTTTCAATGTGGTTCACTTGAATGTAGTCTGAAATAACGGCCCTTTGGCATTGCTCGGGATTTAAATTGTACATTTGGAAGCAATACCTTCGTTCCCGGCTAAAATCAAGTATTTATCTCTCCTTGTAAACTTGGTGCTTTCAAACCCTAATGCCTTACCAATCTCACCTTGCACGTAATTAGCGACATCAAAGTTTGATCTATCCCCATCACGACAGGTGGACAGCCCGGATACCTTCTCCAGCAACTGAACGGTGTAGATCGGTGAGGGGTTCATGGTGAAGAAAAGTGGATCCAGGCACTTGAGCCCACCGGCAGTTGTGCCATGGAACATGCTGACGTGGGTGGTGATTGCAACGGGAATTATTTCGTCACTAATTTCTGAAAATAAAGGACTAAACCTAAGGAGGTAAGGTTCACGACACGTCGTTCCTTCGGGGCAGACAACGACGTCCCCTTGATTCAACAACTTCTCCATCATCTTTCCGTCTTGATGGCGATTTCTTGTTAATCGGACGGTCTTGATTGGTGAGAGGATCTCAGACATCTTGCTTAGGCTGTACGTTACTGCGTGTAGGTTTTTCTTCAATGCGAAGCAAAGGTAGAGAGGGTCTAGCAGCGTTCTATGGTTACAAACGTAAAGCACACCTCTAGGCTTGTCCGTTGGAAGGGTTTGTTTCCGGAGTTTAGGAGCACCCACAGTCAGTTGCAGACCACTGAAACCTAGCAGAGGGAGTGACACGTGGTAAGGCAGTGATATCCCAACGATGATTCTGAAGATTGCTACGGCTATCCCTATTGGTGCCCACATTAGTACTGCCAGGGTTTCAAGTGGGGTTGGTGTGAGAGCTAATCGACCATCATGGAAAACGACCTTCTTTGGGTATCTGTCTCTGGGTAGGTTCTTCCAGCTCCTCTTATCTGAGTCTCCCACTAGATAAACATCCTGCACGTGCAAGTTGCAACAATTTTTCAGGCCAAGACAGAAAATATTGCAACAATTTAGTTTTCTAGCAAAAATTAATTAAACATAAAACCAATTCACAATCAAAGAAGAAACAGAAAAGGCTACATGGACCAAACCATTTCTCCCAATATTTTTAATAATGCAAATTAGACACACACAATTATTGACCTATGTTGGAAAATGATATGTCCATTAACTTATACCAAAATATAGAAGAATGTATTAACTTAAACCAAATCTATTTAATATATATGAAAATTGTTTTATACGATATCTTATCCAGGTTTACTCTAAATCTCTCTAAATTTAACAACATACCCATGAAGTTTCAAATTTTTAATATATAATTAAAGGAAAGTAAACTACGTACCCTTGTTTAACTAACCGGAGTGAAAATAGAATAAAGGAAGTACCTTGCAATAAGAGAATAATTGGTGATAGCGAAATTTGTTGGAGGCAGAGATACCAATTGTATCAAAGGCCATACTATCATGTCCACCACGTTCTAGTTCTTCCAAAAGCGGCGAAACAATATTTCTATTCTCCTCTTCTTCCATGATACCCAAAAAGTATCCACCAAACACCTTTAACTCCTTCCCAACCACCATATCGATCTCCAAGTAGTCTTTTAAGAAGCTCTCAATCATTACTTGTGGTAGCTTACTAACAGCAATTTTCTTTGCACCTCTTTGAAGCACCTCAAAGGCTTCCAACCCAACGTCTTCCAAGAAGAACTTAGGCAAAACAGCTGTGCCAACTCTAAAGCTGTCTTTCTTAACCCCAAAGAAGCAGACCATCACCATTATTTTCAACCCTAATTTGTCACCGACGAGAAATATGATAGGCCATAATAGGAAAAGAACGAGTGCCCTTACGAAACCTCCAGCTTCAAAAGCCACGAGCATGAAGTAATTAAACAAAGAAGATGCTTTCAGCAGAGCTCCTTCGACGTTGAAGACGATCAGAGTTTGGTTTGTGAGGTTTGATCTTTGGGAGTGAAGAGAACTGAACGACTTCCGATTTTTAGACTGGCTTGATGATAGGCTGGTTGCATGGCTGTTGCTGCTCACACTTCTGGGGAAACCTCTGAGTTTCCGAAAGAAAATGCGATATAAAAAGAAAAACGGCTTCAAGAAAAAGGTCTTGGGCATTTTTAGAAGAATAATATGTTTTCTCCAACCCAATGCTGCAAGTCGTGCAAGTTAGGCTATGTTATGTATCTTTTAGAGCCGGATGTAGTTTTATATGGTTTGAGATGTATTTCATTCCCTCCGGCTTCACTTTTATCACGATAATGCTCACGTCAAAAATACAATTAAATAAGAATCTTGTCGGCTCTGCCGTGTGCCAGATCTGGCCATGAGGCTAATCTTTTCGGCATGCAACTGGAAAGGGATCCTCCCCGATTCCTTTCTCCTAATTCATCAAGTTCAAAGATCTGGACCGTTGAAATTTGATCTAACGGCTACAAACAGAAATCTATTTTAAAAGTTATAATAACTTTAGCCTGGATCAAATTTCAACGGTCAAGATTTCCAAACTTAATGGATTAGAAGGATGAGATCTGGAGAGGATCCCTTTTCCATGCAACTTGACGGATCGCTTTCCCATATGCAACTTGCTTGCGTCGTCCATGTTGACCCTTGAAAGATAATAAATTCTATAAAGTAAAACAAGAACAGACACAAAATATATTTTTCGGATTTTGCTCTTTAATGCAAAAGATTTCAAATAATTTATAAGATCTATCATCTCTATTTACGTTCAAAGTAATATCAAGAAATTTTTTTAGTATTATTGTTTTTGATAAAAACAGTCTTATCTTTAAACTTTTAATATTAAGAATTTTTTTTTTATAAATGATATTATTTACACTAATGATGAGAGAGTGGCCTAAATTTCACAATTAGCTTAACAATGATAAAATTGTTACCAACAAAATGTCATACTTGCAAATATAAAATTTGTTTAATCAAATTGTTATTTTGCATGTTTATTTCTCAGAAATTCAAACATTTTCTATAATAAAATATAATTATCAAACATGATCAGATCACGAAATATAAAAATTATCCAACAATAGTAATTAAGAAAATGTCGTACTTCCGAATATCGAACATCTTCTACTTCTACCATTAAAAAGAGAAAAGTGTTATTTAAGCAAGAGTTAGTAAGTTTGATTGGTGTTTATGTGGCCGGTAACGTGCATGTATTTCAATAAATGTAATGTATACAATTTATTTTTCTTTGTTAACGGTTATGAACAATTATGAAAGGCAATAAGTGATAATTATTAGTGATTCTTGCATTCTACGAACCTCTATAAATGAGGTATATCAACTAACAATAATAAAACAGAGAATATGACTAACCACCAAAAGGAGAGATTTTTCCGTGTTTTGGAACACTAGGCGATGTATCACATATCATTATAAAATTAGAGGAACATTTTAAAAGAAAACATTTTTCTAATTATATAATGATATGTGGCATACTCCGTGTTCCGATCACATTAAAAAATCTCTCCACTCAAAGGGTATTTTAGTCATTTTCTTTTTAGTTTAACTTTTGTAACTAATTAAGATAAAAGGAACAATCTAAATTATCAGGCCTTATGCATTTCACAGTAGGTCGAAAAAAGTAGGTGTGACACCAATGTAATGAAGTCACATAAATTTAATACTCCTACAATGAGTCGGAAAAATTGAGTTTGATACTAATAAACTGGATTCATGAGTTCAATATATCACACTCATGAGTTTAATATATTGAATTCATGAGTGTGATACTAATATACTGAACTTGTACTAATGTCGTAGTAGTGTTATAAGTATCACATTCAAGGTGCTTGAATTATATATATAAGTAAATTACATTCACTTAAACTACTATGGAAGACCTTACCGCTTTAAACCACTATGGCATATGTTTTTGGAAAATTTGGCTTGATAGATTCTACTTCCTTTATAACAATTTTCAATTTATATACAATAAGTACTAGTATATGATCATATACATTGGAATAGTAAATTTGATGGAATCCATGTAACAACAATGAAATGTACTACATATGAAAAAATAAAGAGTAATGCTAGAGAGATTAAATTTGTAGACAAAGTTTTGAAAACTAAAGGGCATGGAAATTGATAATTGTTTTATTACTTACACGTTGATAAATGTGTTTATTCTTATTGGTGACATATCATTTAGTTTATAAATTTAGTCTCTAAATTTAGTCTTTCTAACATTATCCAAAATAAATGTCTTCACGTTGCTTGAGTGAAAAAAGACTATTTGTTAGTGTGTAAGTTCAGTCTTCACAAGATATCTCAATCTCATCACTCTTCACTCTTCACTCTTCAGATGAAAATTAAATTAAATTAAATTAAATTAAAAAAAAAAAAAAAAAAAGATATCTCATCACTCAGAGAATGTAACAAGTTATTGGCGTACAACAACCAAATTCTTATAAGCGTACAGTAGAAGAATGAAGAGCTTGATTATTTACTTTGGTATATAGTAGTTTTAGAGCTGACAGCTGAAGTTAGCCACTCACTTAGAAAATGTCTCTTTAAAAGTGCTTTTGTTAAAAAGCATTTTTATTGAAATTAGAATAAAAACTTTAATGAAAAAAATAAGTGCATCCATAAATACTTGGTCTAATTAATAAAAAAGTGAGTAAAGGTTTGAAACTTCTAATCTAAACTGGAACTCCAACAAATACATTCTTTAAGGTCACCTACGATTTTGCCTTGGCCTTTCATATTTGCTCTCGTGACAAAAATTACGCTGCCTCCTATGGTGCCAAGGTTGCATGAAGGGAAGGATTGTTTGTCATCACTGTGTTGTAGAATACCTCCTATATTAAAAAATAATATTTGCACATATTGCATAAGCTCTTTTGTTGTAGGTCTATTTGATTAAACGATCTTTAGGGTTTAGAGAGAAAAGGGGCCGGCGGTATTGAGGGAGAAGAGAGACTGATTTTATTGTGAGGTGTGTTTCTATCATCTCATTGTGTCTTTATTTATATTAGTAGGATAGACAAAAATCTTTCCATTTAGGATTACAACATTTAATAGGTAATCAACTCCTAATAGGAATATAAGATACATTCTCATATCTACTAGGATTTACACAATCACATTCCTATTCTAAATATGACTGCAACATAATTAAAAATGCTAGAAAAATATTTTAAGAGCACCCTAGGAATTAAAATTTCTATCCCTATGTTACTCTTTAATTCAGGGAAGAATATTGTCTAGTGAAATCAATGTCACAACCACCCAGTCACCTTTATTGTTTTTCTAAATGACAAAGCAATTTGATGATATCACATACCATCGGCCAATTCAGACTAAGAATTTCAACATGTTCCCATCCTAGCTCCCCAGTCAAGGAGCAACAGCTACATAAAATCGAAGACGTTGCACCAACCGCGTACAACTACTATAGGGTACCCTACGCGTCATGTTTCTCACGGCGAGTTGGGGTCATGAGAAAGACTTGGAGGAATTTGTACTATATAAAAACAGATTGACGATTTGATGAAAGCATTACCAATCGTTTATTCATTTACTACAATTGACTAAACAATCTTAATTTTAATTGATTTTTCGCAAAAATGATCTTTACAAAGTAACATATAACATGAACTTTTTAATCATAAACACGAAATTTTATTAATAGGCCACAAAGTATTTTGAGGAGAAACTCCTCTTAATCACGCTCTTCTATGGCGTCATTGGGAGAGAGCTGCTACATAAGTAGCTTGAACACTCAAGATCCATTAAGATACTAGGGTATTTGTGATGGAGGGGTAAGAATTCTTCACCTCACTTCCGTTCTCCAATTTTTTCTCTCATAATTTTGCACGTTCTCATATATTTCATCAAAATCAAAATCTTCCATTAAACTGATTCAATCAATTTTCTCTAATTGGAAATCTACCCTTATAAAAAAAGTACGGGTAACTTATATTTTACTAAATTTACATAATAATCATAATTAGTTAACGATAGGATTTACCATCCAACTATACATAATATTGTTCTTTACACAACCAACGTTCATGGTCACACCATGAACGTCGTACTACAGTATATATAAAAGTTATTATTAATAAACGTCATGAAATTACCGCTGCCGTTATTACTTTTGGGCTCCTACATTCATATTTAAGAGTGTTATTGTAACGTCTCGTCCCCAATTATTACGATTTTTATAATTTTTAAATGTGAAATTTCGAAAATGTCCTTCGAGGCAAATGCATTGACTTTTGTTGACTGCCTTGTCGAGTTATGTAAGATACATTTTCTTAGTACATCCTCGTAGTACTCGTCGCTACGGACGCATGGGTGCAAACGGGACGCAATTTGGAGTTATAACGAAGAAGTTATGGGCGAATAAAAATAGGGACAAAATGGTAATTCGAATATTTTCTGGAATGCTCCAGATTTTTGGAGCAAAATATGGAGAGCCACGTGTGTGGCCCAGATTTAAAGACAGAAAAGATGGGCGGTGGAGATGAAGTATAAAGGGAGAGAAAGGAGGAAGGAACCGGACTAATTAGAATGAAGGGTGAGGGTGAGTGACCAATTAGAAGGGAAGGAAAGGAGGGGAAAAGAGAGAGGTGAGTGGCACCCAACCCAGATCTCCATCCCCTTCACCTGTATACCTATGTATCCAATCGGCGATGTCGCTGGGTTCGAAGTAATTTCCGGTGATTCTCACCCATTTTCCAGGTGATTTTCACCCATTCACCACCACTAAACCTCATCACCACATACCAACATCCAATTCTAGCCAAAATTGACACGAAATGGTGGAGATTTCACGAAGAATACCCCACGGGTGCCGCAGAAGACTTGCCTCAAATCCACCAATTCTGAAATGTTTTGCTTCAATTACCACCATCATTAGACTTCCCTTGAGGTCAGGAACAAATCCCAATCATTGGTTGGAGCGTCGGAGTCGATTTGAGGACGAATCAAGAATTACCCTTTATAGGGTTTTTGACGGATCAAGGGGAATTTGAGGTGTTTCCCGGCCGAGTTGGCCTTGGCCATAGGTATGAAAGTTGTTCCTCTCATTAAGATCTTCATCCTTCTAAAATTTGAGAATTTTCAGGAATAGTTGAATTTTCCGGTGAGTCGAGGCAGCCGACCGCCGCCTACAGCGGCGTGTGGACCAAGGGATTCCTTGATCTTCCTAAGCTAAATTTGATTCTCCAATTTCGTGTGTGAAGTCAGA